TGTGAGGAGGTTCTGGGGTCACAACCCAGAGGGAGGCTGAGAGGGCCTCAGAGCAAGGGTGTGAAATTTAAAACAGCAACTTGTCAAAGGGACAATAAGAGAAGGAGGGCTGGTAGAGATGAGGCATCAGGGGAAGGGGACAGGGGTACTTCGAAGGCCACAGTTTTCACGTGGGAGGAGATGGGTCACCCGAGAGAGGGAGGCGGAGAGCCAGCAAGTCCCCACGTCACCAGCCTGTGGCCCTCGGCCCACTTCCTGTCAGACGTAGTTCCTTAGAGTAACTCAGCCTGCCAAGTCGAGGTCTGAACCTATTTTTTTCTATATTTACCTTGTCTTCTCCCCGTGGTCTTTTGGGAGAGTAGAGTGCCTTGCTGATCCAAGGGCTTGCATCTTTCCAGTGCTGTCTCACAAAATCTAGAATCTAGGCTGCGGAGGAGTGAGTTGTATGGACCCATGAGGGAAAAGGGCTCCCAAGAATGTGTTTTTTCCTCCTGGATTGTAGATTGTGGAGGAATTCTGAAGCAGGAGTGCTGGGGTTTCGGTGTTTGAGAGGCCTTGGAGATCATTTAGTCTCACCTCTCTCACTGTTTACACACAGACACTGGTGGCAGAGTTAAGAACAAGGCTGGGTCTCTTGCTTCCTCTTAAGATTTTCCAGGACGTTCTTAGTATTGCCCTTTGAGCGCCTCCCTGACATAGGACACTTTGACATCTCTCTGTCCTCGAATGTCAGTCGCTGCCAGAATTGATGAAGGGAGTCTGTGTTCCAGGTTTCGCCTGGCTTTGAAATGTGGATGCTGTCCAGACTTTTCTCTAACTTTTCATTTTGAAAAACTGCAAACTTACAGAAAAGTTGAAAACACAGTACCCCAACACCTACATCCCCCACTTAGATTTTCCACTGAACACTTGGCCTTCTCCCTACTTGTCAGCTAGTATAGACTCTTTGTTACAGACATCATGACACTTGACTCAGATATTCCCTCAAAACAAAGACGCTCTCCTTCCAAACCACAGCATACCATTGACACACCCAAGACACTTAAACTGAGGCAGTGATTCTCTCCAGTATGCAGTCTGCATTCAGGTCTCCCCAGTGGTTCCATGTGGTCCTTCTGTAGCTTTTTTAAAAAGTAATGCTTAAACATTGGTTAATTGAATTATCAGTAGTTTGTGCAGAGCTGGTGTTCGAGAAATGTTTTCAGTTTCTGAGCGCACGGAGTTTTTGTATTTAGCTTGAGCTTGAAGGAGGGACGTGCAGGGATTTGAAAGTCTGGAGTTGCCCCAGGCAGGAACTCCCAGCCAAGGACTCTGACCTCAGTTTTGGCTTCACACCAGATCCAGACCAAGACCGTGGCCCAGTGCGTGGAGTTCTACTACACCTACAAGAAGCAGGTGAAAATTGGCCGCAACGGGACTCTAACCTTCGGGGACGTGGATATAAGTGATGAGAAGTCGGCCCAGGAAGAGGTTGAAGTGGACCTTAAGGTACCTCCCCTTCTGGCCTCAGCTGCTTAGGGCCTGGGCTGGGTCTGGGCCAGGACTGAACTGGGAGCCTGAGGCCTGGTTCTCAGGTGTTCCCTGGAGGGCAGAGAGAGAGTGTCCCTGACAGCCTCAGTGAGCTAATGTCCTGGGCCTGCCCCTGGACTTCGGGTTCCTCTCTCTACACTACACTATCTTTGTCAGAGTAATAATAGTACCTTGTGCTGATGTGGAATAATGGGGCATTTCCCACCGTATTTGCACCAGATCAGCTTACTGTCTGCTCATAGCAGACCGCTAGCGCTGTTTTCCACGCTTTGGTCCTTCTTGTATCTCCTTTATGAAACCTGCTATATCTGTATCCTCCAATACGACCACCAGCTGGCGTTACTATTTTTGTTATGTCCACCTACCATTCGTACTCTTATTATTTTTCTTAAGATTAGCTTTTTTTTTTTTTACTCAAAAGGGAAGTTTTCTATCACAGTCATAACTAGAAGAGACCAGTATTGTTTAGATAGAAGATACTGGTAAAAATATGAAAACCAAACAATGTTATTTAATCCGAGCTAGATGCTAGCTATTACCTGCCCAGTCCCTGAAACAGGCCCCACCTTTCTTTAAGTCTGGAGAAGTGTAAAAGACACATTAACACCAACTTGAGACTTTGTTCTGGACATAATCAGGACTGAAAGAGAGTTGAAAGGAGAATATTACTTAAGTCTGTGTCCCTGTGCCACCTAACATCTTCTTGGGCTTTTAAGTCCATACGTGCTGTGACATGCGGCTCTGAGATGAGTGGTCTGGTGCCCGTTTTGCATAAGGGGTGGGGGTGGAGATACAGAAAGTATTACAAAGACAGTTTAGAATCAAGCTCCAGGCTACTCCTGCCTCTACCGGACCACCTGCCTGAGGTGCCCTGGGATATCTGTCCAAACCAGGTGACCTGTGTGTGTTTTGTGGGGAGAGCAGCAAGCACCTTCCTTGCTCCTGGCTGGTGTCAAGTCTCATCCTGAGGGCTCCCAGTGCCCCAAGACTCTTCTCTCACAGGCTGGCTAGCTGTGAGAGGGTTTCAGAGGCCAGCACCAGAGACTTCTAATGGCCCTCAGGAGCCCCCTCACCCGTAGAAGACTAGCAGGGCCACATCTGTGCACTGTGGCGGCAGGACTGAGCTCTAGGCTCACGGCCCTCATTCTCATCCCCCATAGACTTCTCAGAAGTTCCCAAGGGTGCCTCCTCCCAGAAGAGAGTCCCCAAGTGAAGAGAGACTGGAGCCTAAGAGGGAAGTAAAGGAGACCAGGAAGGAGGGGGAGGAGGAGGTACCAGAGACCCAGGAGAAGGGGGAGCAGGAAGAGGGGCGAGAGCGAAGCCGGCGGGCAGCGGCTGTCAAAGCCACACAGACACTACAGGCCAATGAGTCGGTAAGTGTGACCTGGAAACCCAGGGCCAGGAGGAGGGCTGGCGCTGGCTGGGGTGGGAGGAAGGGCAGAGCAGGAGCTGCCCGTGGCGGCCATCCCCGGAATAGCCTGAAATACACTGGGCACTTTGTGCTGCAGACTCAGTTAATCACCGTCCCCCTGTGTGTTAAGTACGGTTACTAGTTCCATCTTACTGATAAGGAATTGAGACCCAAGACAAGTCAGCTAGTAGGCAGCTGACCACAGAGTGTATTAGTTTTATATTGCTTCTGTGTCAGCCTCGGAGGAAAAGGCTTTCTGAAAACTCAGGTGGTATGTGGGACATTGGGAAAGCACTGTAATTTGTAGCTCAGGCAAGAGACCTCTGCCCCTACAAGAATGTCTGAAACTGAGCCGAGACCACGGAAGCAATAATGGCCCCTCACTTGATTCTCTGCAAAGTGCTTTCCTATCCATTATCTCAGTAACTCCCCACAGGAGCCCCGTAAAGTGTTAACCACCACTCTGCAGATGGAGGAGCCTGGGGTCAGAGATGCTAAGTGATGCTGGTGCTCACACCCCATGTTCTCTGACTGCTGCAGAGCGCTGTCCACCACATGGCAGACCAGGGAGCAAGAAATATCGGCCACAGCCATTCCTTGTCAGGGAGAGTTCCCCCAAGCGTTCTGGTGGGAACGCCCACAGGAATCTTTGCATTTGCGTTGTACACTTACGCTTGTAGGAGAAATGCCACTCACTGCAGACACACAGCTCTTCTCCCTTCTGAACCTTGGCTGTGCTCCTTCTCCAAGGGCTGCGTGTCCTATGCCCGCTCGCTCGAGTTCTGCTGGCCTCTGCGAACACCCTCCTGTCAGGGCCCACCCAGCACACATACTGATGATGACAGTCTGGGGCACCCCAAGCCCAGGGCCCACGGCCCCCGCTCCCTGAGCAGCACCCCACGAGGTCTGTGCCCGTGTGCTCTACTCTGGCACCTGTGTGATGTCTCCCACAGTGGCTCGTATTGTCCTAAGTGGCTGCTGCTCATCTGTCCCTCCCCCAGACAGTGCTCTGAGTGCAGGGGGCTCCCACTTATACCGCTGTATCCCCAGCACATCACACAAACTTGAGTCTCATTTATGGACTAGAGGCATGAATGGCCCACACACCTGAAAATGTCAACCTTTGTATCACTGAGACATGAAGGCCCCCTGTCAGGTGCAGGGAGAAACCATGTAGCAGCTAAGATTCTGTGGGATTCTGGCCAGAATCCCTGTACAGTACAGCATGGGTACAGAGGGAGATAGGGCGGCAGAGGCAGCGGGTATCTTGCCATCGGAAGAACCCAAGCTGCGGAGCCCCAGCGGGCATTTGGTAGGATGTGTGGCTTTTAAGGGCCCTCCGTTCTCTGAGGTTCCTGAATTTGAACCCTCTCTCGCCCTACCTCTCAGCTCTCCTTGTTTGATCCTCTCCAGGCCAATGACATCCTCATCCTCCGAAGCCACGAGCCCAACGCCCCTGGGTCTGCTGGTGGCCAGGCCCTAGAGAAGCCAAGGGAGGGTGCAGGGAAGTCAAGAAGGGCACTACCTTTTTCGGAGAAGAAGAAGAAAGCGGAGACATTTAACAAGACGCAGAATCAGGAGAACACTTTCCCTTGTAAAAAATGTGGCAGGTAAGACCACCGGCGGGTCTCCAGGGGGCACCAAGGAGTGGGCTGAGGTTGCTGTGGCTGAGACAGAGGCGGGTTCTGGAAGTAGTCTGAGCTTTCTACCCTGTCTGTCTTCCAGTTGGCTCGGAGGGTCCTAGGGCAGTGGCATCACTTAGCAGCTTTCATTTATTTTATTTTATTTTTTTTTAAAGATTTATTTATTTATTTATGCATACCGGCTCTGGGGTGCAGGCCAGAGGTGTTAAAAGAGTACCCCCCACCGGGTCAAAGGCTCCCACATGGAGGGAGCGCTCTGGCAGGCGAGCTAATCCGTTGGGCCCTGGGAGGCTGGGGCAGACACCTCACCCGAGCCCGCTCCCGCCCCACTGCAGGGTGTTTTACAAGGTGAAGAGTCGCAGCGCCCACATGAAAAGCCATGCAGAGCAGGAGAAGAAGGCCGCAGCCTTAAGGCAGAAGGAGAAAGAGGCCGCAGCCGCTGCAGCCACCGCAGCCGCCGCCTCCCCCCACCAGCCGGCGCTGCGGGAGGAGAGCGGCGCGGGCGAGAGGGGCTGACCCAGGGCACTGGAGGGCTCCACGGAGGCCCGGGCCGCCCTGCTCCCTGGACTCCCGGCCCTTCCTGCACCAGCCAGCCAAGCGCCTGCTACACCCTGAAAACTCGAGAAGGAGCAAGGAGAGATCACGTGGACTTTTCTCTAAGAAACAAATAAGACAATAAAATAAAAGGCTTTTTTATTTATAAAGGCCCCAGGAGCAGTGTTCAGGGCTGCAGGATCCACTTCTCTTTGCATTCAGTCTGTTGGAAGTTGTCCTCATGCTTTCTTGGAGCTGTGAGCGTCCCTGCTCACCGGGGCGCCCTCCCCAGGGGCTCCAGCCACCGCCATTGCTGCCTCTCAAGGGGAATCTGCACCCCGCTCCTCCCCTTTCTGTTCCTCCTCTGCTCCCTGGTCACCATGGCGAGCCAAGCACAAGCTCACCCTCCTTTGCAGTTATTCCCCTCCTGAAAACCTCAACTGCCCCAAGCCCAGGAAGAGGGGCCCTGCTGGAGGGAGCATGGTGGCCATCTCTGAGCGGCATCTGCCTGGCCCCTGTGCTGTCCACTGCACAACCATGGCCGTGCCTCGCTGCTCCGGTGACCCTGCACTCAGACAGGCCACCTCCTTCCGGGAGGGAGGCTACCAGAATGCCTGGAAGGAGAGACACCAGGCAGACAGGTACCTACCCCTTTGCTGCTTGTGAGCAGCCCTGCTGGGGCTGGAAGGTTTTCTCAAATATTTGGGGAAGGGACCAATGTTTCCACTCAAGCTCTCAGCCCCCTGGAAGGCAGAGAACTGCTCAGAGGATGGAAGCCCCACGACGAGGCCTAGGGAGCTTGACTCTTGCTTCCCACCTTTTTGCCAAGTACCTTTATGTCCTGAGGGCTGTTAAGAGCTTAGCCAAGGCCCAGCCTGTCCTTGGTGCAAGTCCCCTGCCTGCCGCCTGTCCTGCTCTCAGCAGCCACAACCTAACCCCACCCTACCTGGTCCAGTGCCGATACCCACAGCTGAGCCCCCAGTTCTGTGTGCTGGACATTTCTGGATCCTTCCCTGGGAGGGGGAAGTCTCCTAACCAAATTGGACAGGAGCCTTCGTTCCTTGATTTGTGTCATTTGGGAGCTATTTATTTATTCTTAATATTTAATTTTTAACATCCTCTCAGGGACCAGGGGCCTCCCGCTTTCTAGAGGCCCAAGTGCATTTATCCCCAAACAAGGCACCTTCTTGACATCCACCCTCTTCCACCGCCACTCCCAAGGCTCTAAGGTCCCTCTTGCCTCATGGCTCTGGAAGCTCGTGTCATTAGGAATAATAGTAGCAGTGAAGAGGGTGGGAAGGTGGAGGGTGTCAACAGAGCCGTGCAGAGACGAGCAGGAGCAAGGGAGATCAGAGGCAGGTCTTAGGCTTTCTCTTCTCTGTGCTTTGTATTTGCCTGAAGGGATTAGAAGCCAGATTTCTGGGTTTGTTTCTGACTCGATGAAGCCATATTTAGTGTGGAGTCAATAAAGTGGAATGGCTGGAAGGTTCTGGAGGCCCCTTCATTGGCCAGTCCCAGAGGAGCGCTGACTTTTCTGATATTGTTATTGGACTCTAGTGTACAAAAGAAGTGAATGGAAGTATAGTGCATGCAAGGTGTTAGGAAGGAGCCAAGAAAGCATTCATTCTGCTTTTCCTTATATGATGGTCAGAACACGTCGGCCGTAGGGGTTGGGAGGGAGTGTGTTTCTAAACTGTGGACTGGCAGGTATTTTTCAGCGTTCATTTATGCTTTAATATAGTTCAACAGGACCCCAGCTATGGGAGCAGCAAATTTCTTTTCCACTGGACTCCTGGACCACCACCTAGATCTCCAACTTCCCAGTTATTTTTCCTCCACATGCTTTTACGAGCTCAGTGTTCCAAGATAGCAAAAATACGATCTACCCTCCAGAAGCAGGAGGGCAGCACATTTAGGCTGTCTTCTGAATCACTTGTGTAATAGTGCCTTTGCAGCTTAGCCCCAAGTGCTACTTATGTTTCCCAAGGTTTTTTCTGTTTAAACCTCATTTGCTTTCTGACCCCTTGATGGACATGTGATAACAGGAACCTCCTTCATCTTAGTTCTCTTCCAAGCTCATGGAGAAGAGACCAGGTGAATGTAGGCAGAATGTAGGTACCTCCCAACTCATCTGACCAGATGCTGTATTTTTAGAAGTGTCCATGTTTGAGGATGGGTTTACATCTAGAATTGAAGATGAGAGTGAAGATACTCCCACAGATGCACGTGTGGCCAAGTGACCTGCCACTAAAGTAGCTGCAACCACAGAAGTGGGCATAGGTATATCCTTACGGTGCTTTCTTCCTGTGATCACAGTAGGCTTGTAGGCTTTTTTCTTTTTCTATTCAAAGCTCTTTGCTTTAAGAAGTTAAATGACAAACACCTCCGGCTTTATAATGTCCACCCCACACCATCTCTCCTCTCCCAGCCGCCATGTGTACTCAGCTAAGGGCATGAAACTACCCTAGTGCCTGTGTGCCAGACCATTTCGGAGGTCTCTTACCCACACAAGGAGACAGTACTTGAGCACTGTCTTCCATGCCTTCAACAGTTCCCCATCAAGCTAAGGTACATGCCCATCTTCCTGCCACCCAGCTCCACCTCTGTCACGGAGGACTTGTGCTGCTTAAGTTTAAAGGAGTCCCCTATGTTTAACTGCCTCAGTGACCTAACTCTTCTCGTTTGCCTGATGTTGAGATGAAGGAGGGATACAACTCATACTCAAGCCTCCAATGTTTAAATGTTTTCGCTGGGGCTCATTTTTCATGGATGGTATTTATTACCAGACTGGCAGGCCTAACTCTAGGTTTACAGGAAGTATGCATATTTTTATAAAACAATTGTATGTCCTCCCCATATTTTGCTGTTAACATTTGCCTCTAAGGATTTGCAGCGGTTTTTCACCTTTTCCTCATTTCTAAGTTGAAGGCCTTGTTGGAGGGGACAGCACAGGAACAGCCTTGACAGTCTGTAATTATTGTACAAATATTTTAATAGCATATAAATAAGTATATTCCTTTTATTTTGAAAAAAAAAAGATCAGACACTGCCTTTTGTGTGTTTGCTGCCTGTGGCACCCTTTTTTAATGACTGTTACATATTAGTGTACATATATATAAATATTACCTCTTTTGCTGTACAGTTGTGATAGACCAGACTGAAGATTTTATTTTTTGTGTGCTTTTTATAAAAAAAAAATTAATACACTAAAGAAAATCTTGCTGATGTGATTGTAATGTACCTATGTAACTTATTTACTTTTGGATGTTCTTCTGTATCTTTAAACCTTTTATTAAATAAGGTTTTAAAAATTCAGGGTTGAATTCATGCTGTGTTCTTTGGGAAGGAATTTCACCACCTTGGATTGGCGTGAATTGGCCTTCTTTTGTTTGCAGGAGGTAACTGGGCATTTTCTGAATCATAAGGATTCCGTTTTAACTCACCACCACTGATGCGAGAACAAGGGAAATAATAGTGGTGTTTGCTTGGCTATGACGGACCTTTTTTACAAATTCTAGGCAAGAAAATGTCTCAGCCCAGTGTATCACTTAAAAACATGTAAGCGGCCTAATTGCAACGCTTGCTTTCTTTGGCATGAAGTCAGGAGATGTCAGAGTGTGATCAGATAGCACTGGGGCCCTGCTGAGAGGGAAGGGCATCTTTGATTGGCAGAGGGAGACCTGAGTATTACAAGTCGGTCTTGGACGCATTTTCAACAATTCATTGACAATCTACTCCAGAATTACACTATTTTTAAAAGTACAGTGTTTGCCAAATGCCCAAAGTAGATGACTGCATTACAAAGATGTGGTACTTAATGCACAATGGAATATTACTCGGCAACCAAAAAAAATAAACACATGCCTTTTGCAGCAACATGGATGGAGCTGGAAGGGATCATGCTTAGAGAAATAAAGTCAGAAAGAAAAGGAAAAATACCAGATGGTTTCACTCACAGCTGGACCAGGGGAGAAAATAATAATAATGAACAACTATGTACCAGAAACATTTTCTGGGGGTGGAGTAGGGAATGGGATCAAAAAATGGGAGGAGGGGGAAGCGCACTGGACTATGGTGGTGGCACATGGGTGATTTGGCGATGGGATGCCCACGGGATTACAACTGAGGTGGAAATAGATGTAAAAAATAAACTATCGTATTGTTAAAAAAAA